CACTGAGGGTCGTGTTTAAGTTGGATTACCCGAGGTTCATAATCGGGTTCATTGCCACGAAGTGTGCGTTCTGGAGCAGAAGCGCACGGTTTGGGCAAAGGCTCAGAAACACAATCTTCACGTTGGACAGTAGCTCGGCTATTCCGCAAGTATGCTCGGCGTATAGATCTTCTCCTTCGTCGAGCGGCGTTTTTCTTAGCTTGTTTCAATGCCTTGGCCGCAGCGTCGTCGGCGTTGGTTGGATGTTCCTCCACCATAGGTCTCTTACAACCTATTACACGCCGTGTTGATACGGGTGTAGAATCTTCAACTAGCAGAGCGAGTTTAAGATCTTGGCCAAAGGAGAGGGTTTTCTTCGGCATCTCAGCAGTAGTTACAACCTCCTTAGAGATCTTGCGGGTATCACGCCTAGCTTTAGGGCTAAGCGACACAGAGGAGAGGGCCTCCTCATATTTGGCTTGGTCGAACTCTACGACGAGAGTTTCGACGATGGTTCCAGTGAGGTGAACGTCAAATTGCGCCACCACTTCCTCGTTAGAGAAGCTAGTCCCCAGCGGAGTCGCCATCTTTTGTTTGTTGGAAAATTTGGAGTAATAGAAACAAAAGGAAAATTAATTTGTATTCCTTTAATCTCAGTTACAATTGGATTTCTTGATTACAAAAGAGAAGAGAATGAATTTGATTCTCCCCTTTGTTTAAAACTGGGTTCTTCTTGGTAGCGATGGAGTGCCTCCTTCGAATGCTTGCGTCGAATTTGCTCTCCGTTGACGATCCGACCGTCTTGTCTCACGGGAATGATTAACTTGTACGACAAGTTTGATTTAGAACTCTTAGCGAGTTTAAGAACTCAGGATGAGTTGAAAACTCTGAAAAGAGTTGTTGCGAACCGAATAATCGATTGGTGTAATTAACTCGCGTTGCAAGTTTAATTAAGAACTCTTAACGAGTTTAAGAACTCAGAGTGAGTTGAAACTCTGTAACAGAGTTGTTAGAACAAAAAATTCGGTTAATAGTCAAGTAGATTTTCTGTTGTTGAAGGATTCTCTGAGATTTGATCTTCGAAATCTGACTGAAATCTTCGATCTCCCAAGGGTTTGACCTTGATCTCCAGAAGATCCAACCTTATGCGGTTTTCGATCTCCAAATCTTCAACCCTTGGTGGTTTGATCTCCCCCAAAAATTCCATCCCCGTAGGACATTGAAGAGAACTTGTTTGAATAAGTTTGAAACTCTAGCCGAGTTAAGAAACTCTTTTGAAAGAGTTAATTTCAGAAAGGATTAATAATCCTTTTAGCCAAGAATGATTGATCAATTGTTAATCAGAAGAACTTGCTAAGTAAGTTTTAAAACTCTGATCAAGTTAGGAAAACTCTAAAAAGAGTTGATGATAACAAAGCAAGTTCAATCATTTCAAAAGGGTAGCTGATCTCTTTCTCTCTTTGGCCGATCTCAAAAAAACACCGCCAGTCCTCTATAGGTTCGGTAAAACCTCCATATCTCTAAATCTAACAGATAGAAACCCAAGATCCACCATTCAGAATTAGGAACAATGAGCGTAGTAGCTACCCTCCAAGTTTCACGTCGATCGGACCACGGATGAGGGTTCGATCATCACGCCGATCACTGCTGTGCAAAAGTGACTTTTCTCTGCACTCCTGAAACGATCATCTTCAGTAAAACATTCATATCCCCAAATCTAGCCGATAGAAAGAAATCTCCACCGTTCAGAATTAGGAACCACGAGTCTAGTATCTACTCTATAAATTTCACGTCGATCGGACCACGGATGAGGGTCCGATCATCACGCTGATCACTGCTGTGCAAAAGTGACTTTTCTCTGCACTCCTAGAACGATTAGCTTCGGTAAAACCTTCATATCTCCAAATATAACCGATAGAAAGGAATCTCCACCGTTCAGAATTAGGAAAGATGAGTGTAGTAGCTACCCTCCAAATTTCACATCGATCGCACCACGGATGAGGGTCCGATCGTCACGCCGATCACAACTGCGCAAATGTGACTTTTCTTCTCCTCTCTTGTTCTCTCCTTCTTTTTATTTTCGTCTAGCCCTCTGCCATCAGCCCTATTTTGCTGTGAAAACCCCCTATTTGTAGGAGTTTAAGGGGTATAACTATCCCCTTAATTAGCTCCATAATGGAGGTTAATTGCCCTATTAAGTGGAGGACCGTTTCAAGGATTTGAAATGGTCAAACACGACCTTCGCGTTGAAGAGATTGTCAATTATAATCTCTTTTTTTTTTTGAACTTTTGTGAGGATCGTCAGATTGTAATCCTTACATTTAGCTCTTGATAATATGAGGGTCGTCAATTTGTAACTCCCGATGTTGATTGTAAAGGCTGTTGAATTAGAGCTTTCATCAGTTGTTGTGAAGGTCGTCAGATTGTAACCTTCATCGATCAATATGAAAGTCTTTAAATTGTAGCCTTCTGAAAGCCATTAAATTATAACTTTCATCATCGGTGTTTGATGAGGATTAGCTATCTGTTGTGATTTTTAGACAGCTTACACTAACTGTCTAAATATCATCTACAAACGTGGTTAGGTCGTTATTAACTAAAGATAAGGCAAAATCACTCATTCTTATCCGAAAACCCTTCAACCGAAGCCTATAAGTACAAGCGTAGGGGCTCAATTCACAGGAGGGCGGATTATTATCAAGAGGGCGAGGTGCTGCCGGATTGAGGAGTCAAAGGAGCACGAATTTACAGCGAATACAAGTCAGATCCCGGCGAACTTCAGCATAAAGAGGAAGGCTTTCGAAGGATCTGAACCCGTATCTTTACCCGTCCGTCCGTTCCTCGAGATTAGGCTTGGTCTTAATCTCGAGAAGAGCTACTGATTTCGCTTGGTCGATTTCAACGCTTCAAGCGAATACTTCCTTGGTGAGGTAGGAGCTCTGTCAATTTTCTGTCAACCGGATCTGATCCGTAGGCGGTCCACGGATATCAACGTCCCCGGCACAGGCAAAGATCTCGCACAAGCAGAAGACCGATAAACGATCTCTCTGCGTTTGTTTGATAAAGTTGTAAACTTTTTTTATTTTTATTGTGTAAGGAAATCTTATAAAAAGATCAACTTTTTATTTTATTCGAGTTTATTATAACGACCAAAGTTATAATAGATTCGCTAGCAATAAAAACAATAACTTTTTACGAAAACACACATAAGAATCACGAGAGTACGGGGCTTGTTTCCCCCGTGGTACCTTCGACGATCAAGTCAGCTGGGGTACTTAGTCCAGTAAATAGAGGAATAGTATCCCCCTCTAATATGTAACTAGAGAATTTTTTTAGGTAGTGATGGAGAGACCGAACCTCTTTTCAGGATGAATAGCATCTGTATTTATAGAGGATGCAAAGGGCAGAACATGTATTTAGTGAGGAGGCGACAACTGTTGACGGCGAGAGGTGAGCTGGAGGATGAGTCATCCTCTGCCCTATTCGTGTCGATTGATGAGTGATGGCGGGTCACTTCAGCGACATAGGGAATCAACAACCGTTGAGGCTTGTCAGCGGGTGATGTGAAGTCACTTC